TTTTTGCCCTCCGCCCCTTCATATTGTTTGGATGTTTGATTGATTAATGTTTTCAAATAGTTAATAATTTCTTGCCTCTAATTATATTTTTAATGTTTATAATTTGAATTATCTAGTGGAAAAAAAAAATCAAGCGAAAAAAATTCAAATTAAATGGATTGGTTCTTGGGCCCAAGTATGGCACAAGCACGAGCACGGGCACGGCACGAGCCCGGCCCGGCCCGTTTAAATATGGACATGGGCTTTGGGCCGGGCCGGGATCAATGATTTTATTAAATGGGCCGGCACGGCACGGCCCGATAAATTAAATGGGCCGGCCCGGCACGGCACGAAAATGTTAAAAGCACGAGTTTAAATGGGACGGGCCGGCCCGGCACGGCCCGTTTGACACCTCTAAGGAAACACCTTTTAAGTAGTTTGCTATAATAGCTTTTTAGCTATTTTAACTACAATTTGCTAAAATTTGGAGACTCTCCTGGAGATGCTCTTAGACACTTCCACCGCAAAGGGCAAGGGCAAGGCAAGGACAAAGCAAGGTTTGTCACTATTTAAGTGAATAGTGGCAGCCCTTGCCTTTTTTGTTTCCAACTTTATGGGCAAGGGCAAGGGCAAGGGCAATTACTATTCACTTTACTTTATTTTCTATTTTTTATAAACGATTAATTTTGATAAGATTTTCAGTTGTCACATGTCACTATTTATTATAAAATTCTCACCTAAATTTTCAAATAACATTTTCGGATTAAATTTTATGATTAAATTTTTGGATAAGATTTTCGGTTGCTACGTGTCCATATTTTGTTATAACATTCATATCTTAAATTTCATATAAGATTTTCGAATAAGATTCTCGGTTGCCACATGTCGATATTTACTATAAAATTCTAATCTCAGAATTCAGATAAGATTTTCACCCTCTAAAATTATGCCACGTGTCATCTCTATCTTCTAAATCCCTGTATAAAACTACACCCTCAACTCAGACCTCTCACACCATATCTTCTCTATCCTTTCATTTCTCAGATTTTGCAAAACATATTCTACTCTCAATGTCTAACCTGAGGAGGGTGTTGGAGAGGCAACAGGGAGAAGATGAATTTGAATAAAACGGCATTTAGAAATATTTAACGTCGTCGTGAAGATTTTGACCGCTTCGAATGTGGTCCCTCGCTTTTGCAAACACATCTCTCCATTTCCCTAACTCCTTATTCAAAATTTTCCACCTACTAGCCAATGCTATTTCCATACAAGCCGAACCCGATCTCATTGCCTGTGATCGGGCAATGACCAACGTTGACCCAACACTCACACAACAAAATATCTTCCACGGTTGTCCACAAGCCTCCAGCTTCCATGAAAAAGGTCATTTGTATTTTTTACACAAATAGAATTTAGTAGTAGAAATTTTTGTGTGGAAAGTGAAAAATATTGGAAGGATATGAATTTGTATGAAGATTTGGTGTGAAAAGTGAATAATATTGGTAGGTATTTATAGAAAAAAAAAAATTCAATTTTTTTTTAATTTTTTTTAGCCAAAAAATAGACAGCTGTTGGAGTTGACAAGATTTTTGGATCGGAGGCTCAAGGAGAAGCCACATGGCTTGTAGCCGTTGGTTTCTGATAGCTGTGGGTCAGCGCTAACGTCAGGCTAGCGTCAGCGCAAGAAATTCAAAAAAAAATTACTATTGGCATGCGCTGACATCAGCAGCTCGAAGGCAAGGAGACGGGCCAGATCTCCCCATGGGCTTGCCCGGGCTAATGAGTCCCACCCCTTGCCAGGGCTGGATCTTGTGTGCTGGAGCTGCTTCCAGCCCCCTCCTGCCTGGGCTAGCCTTGCGCGCAGGAGATGCTCTTAGACCCCGCCAAATAGTCAAACGTAAGTTAGTTTTCTACACCTGCATAATTGAATATTATAAAATAAAAAATATATGCACTGCACACGTTGCAGACATACCAGCAAGCTCATATTTCAATAGGATAGAATAGATAGACTATTTCTTTTTCTTAATATCTCTCACCTTGAAATTGCAGAAACGTCCAAGTTCCTCCCATCACGAGCTTTCCTTGAAGGTGAGCAGTAAGCACCGGGAGATATTATTTTCATTTGCAACTGAAATTACAGAAGCTCTTTCTTGAGGGGGCTAGAAAGGAACTAACCACATGGACATGGCTGCCAAGATAGAGTTAGGATCCCAAACTGTCCAAGAGCTGCTCGGAAAAGGCAAAGGGGAACAAGTGCCAGATAAATACATCCATAAAGTTACAGACGGTGGCATTGGAAACCCAAGTGCTTCTTCTGCCGCGTTGATGGATATTCCAGTCATTGATCTTGGCCTCCTCCTCACACCTTCCTCAATCACTGCACAACAACTTGATAAACTTCGATCAGCTCTTACCACATGGGGTTGCTTTCAGGTCTGAATTCAAACATTTTCAAATACCCAATTTAATGAATTAGCAAACTTTTGTGTTTAGTTCAGAAAACTTGGTATAAGTGATCTAGATTTCTAAGCATATCCCAGGATCAGGATGCTGTATTATTATTATTATATTAAATTTGGTTTTTCCCTGTGTTCTGTTTGATTTGATCCATCCACCTATATGGAAAACATGTTTGAAACTCTGTGTTCCAGGTAATAAATCATGGCATGACACCTGAATTCCTAGACGAGGTCCGCGAAATGACCAAACAATTTTTTGCACTTCCAGTGGAAGAGAAGCAGAAATACTTGAGAAAAGTCAACGATATTCAAGGATATGGGAACGACATGGTTTTTTCAGAACAACAAACACTTGATTGGTCTGACCGGCTATACCTTTCTGTATATCCAGAAGAGCACCGAAAGCTCAAATTTTGGCCTCAAAATCCCAAATCTTTTAGGTAACTTGTGTTTGCCATACATCTTCTTCCTTCACACTGAAACAATAACCATATCATGATCTCTCAGAGTTCAACATATATTTTTACTGCAGTGAAACTTTAGACCAATATACGACGAAGTTACAAGTGGTAACAAAAACTGTCCTCGAGGCCATGGCAAGGTCATTGAATTTGGATGTTAATTGCTTTCGGGACCTGTATGGAGAACAAGGGAAAATGGATGCGAGGTTTAGCTTTTATCCTCCTTGTTCAAGGCCTGATGTTGTCCTGGGTGTGAAACCGCATGCAGATGGAACAATAATCACCCTTCTCTTGCAAGACAAACAAGTGGAAGGTCTTCAGTTTCTTAAAGACGATCAGTGGTTTAGAGCTCCCATTGTTCCTGAGGCGCTTCTCATTAACGTCGGTGATCAGGCAGAGGTAAATCAAATGTTCTTTCTCAACCTGTTCAATTATTGGTTTTAACCTTTAAAGCAATGCCTAAAGAGTAAAGCTTAAATTGAAATTTGGTGTGTGATTGAAAGCTTAAAAATGTACCATTTTGACCAGCGAGGTCTAGCATAGTGGGAAATAGTCTTGACTTGCACACCAGTGGTCTCAAGTTCGAACCCTATGGCACCTTTGATTGTTCGTTTCCTTGTGATACGCAGATATTGAGCAATGGAATATTCAAGAGCCCTGTACACAGGGTAGTGACAAATCCAGACAAGGAGAGGATCTCTTTGGCTGCCTTCTGCATCCCAGAATCAGATAAAGATATTGAACCATTTGAAAGCCTGGTCAATGAGTCAAAGCCAAGATTGTACAAAAAGGTAAAAAATTATGTTGGCATCTATTTCGAATACTACCAGCAGGGGAGGAGACCAATTGAAGCAGCAAAAATTTAAACTTACCCTTATATTTCTCTCTGACCACATATATAAATGGGGGTGGATGCATGGCACTCTGTTTGTTACATAAGTCTTGGCACAAGTTTTGCAGTATTGGATTAATACACTATAAATGGCTGAGATTAAATCTCACAACTAATTTATTCGTTTTAATAAATTATGAAGAGACATAAGCTGGCAAACGTTTTCCTCCTTTCTGTTTGAGGTAATTAACTTTTGATTGTCAAATCTACTATTTTTATTTTGTTTATTTTTATAAATGGTTATTTAGCATTACTCTAATCAATGAAACTACTGCAATGATACTTCTTAAATTTCTTAGTGAAACTGAGTTGAACTTTTCTCTCAGAATTATGAAAGCAATTCCAGAAAACTACTCGATAGTTAGTAGAGTTTTGATCAACTTGAAGGCTGTTAATTTGACTATTAAGTTTGTGTAGAGACTGATAATTATGTTTCCTCTTCTGAGCAAATAGAGACAGATTTCACTAGGATTTTAGTTTCCAGATTTTTAGTGGGATTTGATTTAAGTTTCCTAAATACTCAATTCACCCATATCCTACATCAAATTTGGTATTAGAGCCAAGTTTTCGTTTCCCTTGGGCTCAAAATTTTCGAGTATTTCTTGTTCTTCACACCATGTGTCAAGCGATGGCTCCGACTAAGCCTGAAAAGACAGACAAGCTAGAGACGGACTTTGAACATCTTGTTCAGATGATGGAAAACCTATCAAAGCAAGTGGCAGATTCGAACACTACATCCAGACTCACGGAACGTCACCTTGCAGACTTAGAAGCAGCTACCCAACATGATGAAACAAGTGTGAATGGAGAAGTGAGGAATCATGATCGACGAGGTCATGATAGAAGGAATGATTGAGACGCAGAGAGACAATTTTCATCGTGGCTATGAGCAAGACCCTGATGAAAGGGTGATGAAATCAGTGAAAGTTGACGCTCCTAATTTTGATGGTGAGCTAAATCCTGAAGCACTCCTCGACTCGTTAACTACCATGGATCACTATTTTGAGTGGCATGACGTGTCTGAAGCTCGAAGGGTGAGATTTGCTAAGATAAAATTGGTGGGTCAAGCTGGATTGTTTTGGACCAATGTTGAAACACAGTTAGAGAGAGCTGGTGAAGAACCAATCATCCATTAGGGTGAGATGAAAGAAAGGTTGAAGTAGAAATATCTACCATTATCCTATCAACAAAGTTTGTTGGACAAGTGGTAAACTCTTTGTCAAGACAACATGCTAGTTGCTGAATATATTGCAAAATTTGAGGAATTCATGTTGCGATGTGACGTAAGGGAAGATTGAAGGATGACTATTTCTCGGTTTAGATCAGGACTTCGTCCAGAGCTTCAAAGGGAATTAATTCCTCATATTGTGAATACTTTAGAGAGGGTTTTTCATATGGTACAAGAATTAGAAAAGTATTTAAAGTCGTCCAATGTAGTCAAGCAAACTGATTCTCAAAGATCTAATTTTCATGTTGGCACATCTGCTGACAGGACCCGACCCATTCCACTTTGGAATCTGAGCCGAACCCTGTGCGTGTCTGACACCTGGCAAGTGCCGGCCACAAATGACCTAATTGCCCTTCTAGTCAATCTTCACTTAAAACTGGGGTTTGACTTCTGCCGAAAATTCAGCAGAGTCTCCCCTGTAATTAGGCCACTCCCAGAATTTCACTTGTCAAAACATGTATATACAAAATACACCAACTGCCAGCATACAACTAATTACATACCAACAGTTAGACAAGTGTTCTAGGGCAATAACAGAGCATCTATACAGAGTAGATTACAAATTAGCACAACTAAACAAAACCCTACATTGGCAAAAGACGTAGCGGAAGAAGGTCTCGGCCTGGTGGTGGCGCACTGACGCACGACTACTGCCTCGGGGCGCAAAACATTAAAAAGGTGAGTGGACCAAAAATAAAGCTTTAAAAAATAGCATACGAACATACTAACCCCTCTGTAAAAACAGTTATACAACTAAATCACTTCTTTTATAAATAAACTCGTACTTAAAGCAATGCAAACGTATAATCCGTCAATTCCTTATAATCCGTCAATTCCATCCTCGTGTCACCGAAGTGACACGTCCTCGCGCCACCGGAGTGACACGTCCTAGCAGACCTCGGGAAACACATGTCACCTGAGCCGCAATCCTAGCAGAATTCAAGGGACACTTGGTCGGCTTGATCCGCAATCCTAGCTAGACTCAGGGAACACTTGGCCCACCTGAGCTGCACTCCTAGCACCACACAGTCCGAGCGTCCCCGAGACTCGTGGGGCTGTGTCAAGCATGCTGACTTACCCGAAGGCAACTGGATGTCCATCGACATCAATAATACCGAAGGCAATTGGATGTCCGTAGACATCGTTATAACTGAAGGCAACCATTTAAATCCGAAGGCAACATATTATCGAAGGCAACCTTTATTAATCTTGGGTACCTATGGTGGTTTCTGAATATATATATACATTTTCTGAAAGCAAACTAGAATTTATAAAACTATGTCTTAATAAACCTTAAAGCCTGCTGCCACTCAATCTGATAACTATCCCAGTTTATACTTTTCCTATCCTTTAAGGATTCTCAACTCAGCAGCAATTTATTAAATTGAAGTACTTAGAAGCATATAATAATTATGCAACTCTAATATTTCAATAACACTTATTCAAGATCAAGTAATAAGAATAAATTTCATAAAATCATTTATAAAAACAAAAAGTCCACTCACAGATGCTCTGAGCTAGCTGGACCCTTTTGAAGGTCCCTCCTGTGAGTCACCTTGTGCCCAGGTGCCTGAATAATCATCATACTCTTTATTAATAACTATGCTCAATAATATAATATTAAAATAAAAACCCTGACTCCTGGCTCCTAACAGTGCGTGCATCTCTTTTAAAGGTCATTCCTATGCCCACATTAACTTTCCTCTCAATGGACATGATTTAGTAGTAACTCGGGACTCAAAAGCGATAAAGTCCCAAAAAGTCAACTTGGGACCCCGTGGGGTCCACGACCTCAGAATTCTGATCCGATCGTTCCTAGAGGTCCCACTATGCCTAAGACACATGTCCCGAGAGTTTGGTCTCGATCGAAAGGTCGGATTGCTCATGATCGCACGATCGGACGGATGAACGATTTTCCGTAATCCTAGCCCCAGGGTTGGCCTTTTCGGAGTACCCGGGACTCCGATTGACGATCCGTCAAATCCTACATGATCCTGAAATTACCTAGAACAACATACTCCAGTTTGACTACGATCCAACGGTCTGAACGTATTGAACCTGCAAATCGCACACTATACGAGATCCGTTCGGGGTCCAAACGTTATCCGAATTGAGATCCGTGAATTTCTACGCGCTCATGAGGACACGAGGATCATTATGGGACCAAGGGTGGTCCCTGATACCTGGCCCACGTGTTGCCGGCGCGTGGGTGTGTAAAGAAAATTCTGGCCTCCGGAAAATCTCCAAACCACGGGTCCAAACTCCTATCCTAGGTTAAACACCTAATTTGGAACCACTTTTGTTCTTAGACTATGGCAAAAAAGTGGCTGGAAGTGGCTGAAACTGAGCTGTCAAAACCGGCAGAAACTCAACTCGACAATTAACCTATCAAACCTCAAAATCTCTGAAAACCTACACAACCATCAGCTAGATCGTGGAAAATAGCTAGAAATCCATACCTTACTTGCTTGATTTGGTGGTCGGAGGAGGGAGAACGAGAGGTTAGAAAATCTGTCAAAACTAACGCGATTTTCTGCGGCTGGTTCCGACGGAATCTGACGCTTCCTGTGGCGGTTGGAGTCAGGTTGGGTCGGTGGGGTGGCGGCGAGGGCTTTGCCAGTCAGGTTGGCCGGAGGTAGTGCGTGGCTGGGTGGTTATGGAGGTGAGAAGGTGGCTGGAAAGAAGAAATGACAATGGGGGGGCTGGTCTGATCGTGAGGAGAGAGAGAGTGAGGAGAGAAAAGGAGGAAATGAGATTTTTAAAATCTGATATTCGAAAATTACACTTTTGCCCCTCAACTTAATTTGCTTGTATTTTCTTCGTTACAACTCGGATTTGAGTCCACTACGTATCTACGGACTCGTTTCTTCGCGCTCTACGCAACCGTACAAGTGGATTTCCCAAATTCTTTCCCGGTCAAAACGTCAACTTAAAACCTAATAAAATATTCTGATGCTAGTTTAGTCTTTTCCCCTATTAAAATATTAGTTAAATAATAATTAAGGTTTGGGTTGTTACAATCTACCCCCCTTACGTACCTGTCACTCGAATGGGTAAGGATATTGGGCCCGCATATGCTCTTCGGGTCCCCAAGTGGCCTCTTCCACGTCGTGACTCCTCCACAAAACCTTCACTAGTGGAATCTCTCTGGATCGAAGCACTTGCATCTTCCAATCCAGAATCTGAATAGGCTGCTCCACATAACTTAAGTCATCCTTTAATTTTATGGGTTGTTCTTCCAAGACATGGGGTGGATCTGAAATATACTTTCCGGAGCATGGACACGTGGAATACGTCATGTAGACGGGAAAGGTCTGAAGGTAAGGCAAGTCTATAAGCTGCTGGGCCCACACGCTCCACAATCTCATATGGCCCAATAAAGCGAGGGCTTAGTTCTCCCTGCTTCCCAAATCTCACTACGCCTTTCCAAGGCGACAATTCCAAAAATACCCAAACTCCATCGCACTTGTTCAGTGTTTGAGAAAGCTTGAACACGAAATCCACAGTAATGTGCTCCTACTTCCACTCAGGAATCGGAAGTGGTTGCAGCAATCCCAATGGTTTCTATCACTCTGCCTTAACTTGCTGACAAATTAGACACTTACTGACGTACTCTGCAATCTGTTTCTTCCTGAAAGGCCACCAATAATGACAAACACCTCCCTCGAATATGAGCTATCGATCCCGAGAACTTCCTGCTGAGGGTATCAGCTACCATATTTGCTCTTCTTGGGTGATGCTCAATAGTACATTCATAATCTTTAATCAATTCTAACCACCTTCTTTGTCTTAAATTAAGTTTCTTCTAGGTGAACAGGTACTTCCAACTCTTTTGATCCATGAAAATTTCACACACTTCCCCCTAAAGATAGTGTCGCCAAGAAATTCACCCTGTCCAACCAAAACTGACACTTGCTAAACTTGGCATACAGTTGTTTCCGCCTCAAAGTCTTCAGCAAAATTTCCAAGTGCTTCATGTGTGCCTTCTGACTTTTGGGGTATATCAAGACATCGTCTATGAACACAATCACAAGGTGATCCAAGTAACGTCGGAACACTCTGTTCATGAGATTCATAAGCGCAGCTGGCACGTTAGTCAATCCAAATGGTATCACCATGAACTCATAGTGCCCATACCTCGTCCAAAAAGCTGTCTTATGCACATCCTCCTCTCTAATGCGTAGCTGATGATACCCCGGTCTCAAGTCAATCTTAGAAAATACCTTGGCACCCTTCAGCTGATCAACCAGAACTTTTATCCGTGGCAACGGATACTGGTTCTTTACTGTGACCTTATTCAGCTGCCTGTAGTCAATACACAATCTCATGGTGCCATCCTTCTTCCCAACAACAATACTGGAGCGCCCCATGGTGAAAAACTGGGTCGGATGAAACCCTTATCCACCAGCTCCTGTAACTGAATCTTTAGCTCCCTTAACTCTGCTGGTGTCATTCTGTACGGCACTTGAGAAATAGGGTTCGTACCCGGGACGAGCTCAATAATGAATTCAATCTCTCGATGAGGTGATAACCTTGAAGATCCTCCGGGAACTCATCTGGAAATTCCTGTACCACTGGAATATCCTCCAACCTTAATCCATTATCCCGAGTAACAATAACACGCGACAAATACCCTGAACATCCTTCCCTAAGCAACTGTCTTGCCGTCATAGCTGAAATGAGGCAGATGGAAGGACTCTATGCTCACCATAAAATTTCACCTCATGTTGCCCAGGACTATGAAAGACGACCTCTTTTCGAAAACAATCTACGGAGGCATGGTACTTGGCTAACCAATCCATCCCCAAAATGACATCCAAAACAACCATATCTAGGGGAATTAAATCTGCCTCCAGCAACACGTCTACTCCTAGCACCATACTAACTCAATACATCGTACCAACCATAAAGGTCTCTCCTGTAGGTACAGAGATCGCCAACTCATTCTGTAGAGCTGAGAGTTTCACGTTGGCATTGTGGGCAAAACTAGGTGTGACAAGTAAATGTGTAGTGTAAGATCCCACTTTGACCAACGGAGAGGGGGTTGATGTGCCTTATATGTACATGCCCGCATCAATCTAGCACGAGGCCTTTTGGGAGCTCACTGGCTTCGGAGTTGTAGGAACTCCAAAGTTAAGCGAGTTGGGGGCGAGAGCAATCCCACCCACTGAGAAGTTGGTAGTGAGCTCCCAGAAACAAAACCGTGAGGGCCATAGAGGGGGGCCCAAAGCGGACAATATCGTGCTACGGCGTAGCCGATCCGGGATGTGACAATTTGGTATCAGAGCCACTCTGCCGTGTGGTGCAAGTGTGCCGACAAGGACGTCGGGCCCTTAAGGGGGGTGGATTGTAAGATCTCACTTTGACCAACGGAGAGGGGGTTGATGTGCCTTATTTGTACATGCCCGCATCAATCTAGCACGAGGCCTTTTGGGAGCTCATTGGCTTCAGAGTTGTAGGAACTCCGAAGTTAAGCGAGTTGGGGGCGAGAGCAATCCCAGGATGGGTGACCCACTGGAAAGTTGGTAGTGAGCTCCCAGAAACAAAACCGTGAGGGCCAGAGAGGGGGGGCCCAAAGCGGACAATATCGTGCTACGGCGGAGCCGATCCGGGATGTGACATGTGCCTCCTGCTGCGACATATTGTACAGTCTACCCATAGCCCTGGAACGTCCACCTCGTTCCCTCTGCTGTCTACCACCTCTGTTGGCTACACCGGTCTGGGCCCCACCGCTAGACGAGGCCCCTAAAAACTGTGGTGTCCCCTGTGTCAATGTAACTGTCATCTCTCCGCCCTAAAAACGCATCGGGCACTCCCTTCGGAAATGTCCGGACTGTCCACAATGGTAGTATCCTGTAGCGCCTTGTTGGCAAGGCCCGGAATGGTACCTGCCACACTCTGCGCACAGATAACTACTCCTCCTGCTAGAACCTAGCGGCAACTATCTCCCAGCACTTCTAGCTGTACCACCTCCAGAGCGGTTCCCAAAACTATCACTCGGGTTAGACCCTCCACTGGAACTTACTCCAGGTCGAAAACCTCCATAACTTAGACCCCCCAAAAGGCCTCGTGCTAGATGGATGCGGGTATGTACATATAAGGCACATCAACCCCCTCTCTGTTGGTCGATGTGGGATCTTACAATCCACCTTTTAATTATTATTTAACTAATATTTTAATAGGGAAAAAGACTAAACTACCCTCGAAATATTTTATTAGGTTTTAAGTTGACGTTTTGACCGGGAAAGAATTTGGGAAATCCACTTGTACGGTTGCAGAGAGCGCGACGAAACGAGTCCGTAGACACATAGTGGACTCAAATCCGAGTTGTAACGAAGAAAATACAAGCAAATGAAGTTGAGGGGCAAAAGTGTAATTTTCGAAGATCAGATTTTAAAAATCTGATTTCCTCCTTTTTCTCTCCTCACGATCAGACCAGGCGCCCCCCCCCCCCCTTTTGTTATTTCTTCTTTCTAGCCACCTTCTCATCTCCATAACCACCCAACCACGCACCACCTTCGGCCAACCTGACTGGCCAAGCCCTCGCCGCCACCCCAGCGACCCAACCCTACGCCAGCCGCCGTATGAAGCGCCGGATTCCGCCGAAACCAGCCGCAGAATATCGCGTCAGTTTTGACAGATTTTCTAACCTCTTGGTCTCCCTCCTCCGACCACCAAATCAAGCGAGTGAGGTATGGATTTCTAACTATTTTCCACGATCTAGCTTATGGTTAGGTAGGTTTTCAGAGATTTTAAGTTTTGATAGGTTAATTGTCGAGTTGAGTTTCTGCCGGTTTTGAGAGCTCAGTTTCAGCCACGTCCAGCCACTTTTTGGCCATAGTCCAAGAACAAAAGTGGTTCCAAATTAGGTGTTTTACCTCGGATAGGTGTTTGGGCTCGTGGTTTGGAGATTTTCCGACCACTGGAATTTTCTTTACACACCCATGCGCTGCCGGCACGTGGGCAGCGCATGGGCCAGGTAGCAGGGACCACCCTTGGTCCCAGAATGATCCTCGTGTCCTCATGAGCGCGTAGAAATTCACGGATCTCAATTCGGATAACGTTTGGACCCCAAACGGATCTCGCATAGTGTGTGATTTCCAAGTTCAAAGCGTTCAGACCGTAGGATCGTAGTCAAACTGGAGTATGTGGTTCTAGGTAATTTCAGGATCGTGTAGGATTCGACGTATCGTCAATCGGAGTCCTGGGTACTCCGAAAAGGCCAACCCTAGGGCTAGGATTACAGAAAATCGTTCATCCGTCCGATCGTGCGATCGTGAGTAATCCGACCTTCCGATTGAGACCAAACTCTCAGGACATGTGTCCTAGGCATAGTGGGACCTCTAGGAACGATCGGATCAGAATTCTGAGGTCGTGGACCCCACGGGGTCCCGAGTTGACTTTTTGGGACTTTATCGCTTTTGAATCCCGAGTTACTACTAAATCATGTCCATTGAGAGGAAAGTTAATGCGAGCATAGGAATGACCTTTAAAAGATATGCACGCACTGTTAGGAGCTGGGGGTCAGGGTTTTTATCTTAATATTATATTATTGAGCAGAGTTATTAATAAAGAGTATGATGGTTATTCAGGCATCCGGGCACAAGGTGACCCACAGGAGGGACCTTCAAAAGGGTCCAGCTAGCTCAAAGCATCTGTGAGTGGACTTTTTGTTTTTATAAATGATTTTATGAAATTTATTCTTATTACTTGATCTTGAATAAGTGTTATTCAAATATTAGAGTTGCATAATTATTATATGCTTCTAAGTACTTCAATTTATTAAATTGCTGCTGAGTTGAGAATCCTTAAAGGATAGGAAAAGTATAAACTGGGATAGTTATCAGATTGAGTGGCAGCAAGCTTTAAGGTTTATTAAGACATAGTTTTATAAATTCTAGTTTGTTTTCAGAAAATGTATATATATTTCAGAAACCACCATAGGTACCCAAGATTAATAAAGGTTGCCTTCGATAATATGTTGCCTTCGGATTTAAATGGTTGCCTTCGGTTATAACGATGTATACGGACATCCAGTTGCCTTCGGTATTATTGATGTCAACGGACATCCAGTTGCCTTTGGGTAGGTCAGCATGCTTAACACAGCCCCATGAGTCTCGGGAACGCTCGGACCGTGTGGTGCTAGGAGTGCAGCTCAGGTGGGCCAAGTGTTCCCTGAGTCTAGCTAGGATTGCGGATCATGCCGACCAAGTGTCCCCTGAATTCTGCTAGGATTGCGGCTCGAGTAACATGTGTTTCTCGAGGTCTGCTAGGACGTGTCACTCCGGTGGCGCGAGGATGGAATTGACGGATTATAAGGAATTGACGGAAATAAATGGGTACACCTATGTGATAGATTTAAAATTGATTTCAATGCTTTCATGTAATTAATGTTTAATTAAATGTGTGATTGATTATATATATATATTTATATACGTTTGCATTGCTTTCAGTGCGAGTTTATTTATAAAAGAAGTGATTTAGTTTTATAACTGAGGGGTTAGTATGTTCGTATGCTATTTTTTAAAGCTTTATTTTTGATCCACTCACCTTTTTTAATGTTTTGCTCCCCCAGGCAGTGGTCGTGCGTCAGTGCGCCACAACCGGGCCGAGACCTTCTTCCGCTACGTCTTTTGCCAATGTAGGGTTTTGTTTAGTTGTGATAATTTGTAATCTACTCTGTATAGATGCTCTGTTATTGCCCTATAACACTTGTCTAACTGTTGGTATGTAATTAGTTGTATGCTGGCAGTTGGTGTATTTTGTATATACATGTTTTGACAGGTGAAATTTTGGGAGTGGCCTAATTACAGGGGAGACTCTGCTGAATTTTCGGCAGAAGTCAAACCCCAGTTTAAGTGAAGCTTGACTAGAAGGCAATTAGGTCATTTGTGGCCGGCACTTGCCAGGTGTCGGACACGCACAGGGTTCGGCTCAAATTCCAAAGTGGAATATGGGTCGGGTCCTGTCAATTTGGTATCAGAGCCACTCTGCTGTGTGGTGCGAGTGTGCCGACGAGGACGTCGGGCCCCTAAGGGGGGTGGATTGTAAGATCCCACATCGACCAACGGAAAGGGGGTTGATGTGCCTTATATGTACATCCCCTCATCCATCTAGCACGAGGCCTTTTGGGAGCTCACTGGCTTCGGAGTCATGGGAACTCCAAAGTTAAGTGAGTGTGGGGTTAGAGCAATCCCAGGATGGGTGACCCACTGGGAAGTTGCTTGTGAGCTCCCAGAAACAAAACCATGAGGGCAGAGAGGGGGGCCCAAAGCGAACAATATCGTGCTACGGCGAAGCCGATCCCGGGATGTGACATCTGCGACTCCAAGTTCTACGACTCCAACATCTACAACTAATTTAGTAAAAACTGTCAGGGGAAAAAGAGTGCTAGTTGATACACGTGGTGGTGGAACGCAAAGATGTTACAGATGCCAAGGTTTTGGACACTTTGCTGTCCAATGCCCAACGAAGGAGGCAATAAGAAATCTGTGTGCACACATCAACGAACAAGCTGACAATCAAGGCGAATTCGAGGAAGATATTTATGAACCCCAACAACCTGATGCAGATTGTGGAATCGACTTTGAAGTCTCTCATCCAACATTAGCAGTAGTAAGGTGTACTTTGGCTCAACCTAGGAAGGAAACTAAGGATTGGCGTAAGACTTCCATTTTCCACACTTACATCAAGTCTGGAGATAAAGATTGTAAGGTGGTCATAGATAATGGGAGTTGTATCAATGTGGTTTCAATGCTAACTATTTCGCATCTTGGTTTGTCGCTCGAGAAGCATCTTGTGCCATACAGATTGGCATGGATTGACAATACATCTTCTATCCCTGTTACCCAACGGTGTCACGTTCCTATACAGTTTTCATCTTACAAAGATCATGTTTGGTGTGATGTGGTGGATATGGATGTGAGTCATATTCTCTTGGAAAGACCATGGATCTACGATTACAATGTTACCATCTTGGGTCAAGAAAATATATGTTCGTTCATCCATAAAGGAAAGAAGATCACGATGAAGCCACTTCAACCCAAGCTCGTGAATCAATCCATACCAAACAAAGAGGAGCAAGAAAAAGTAGGTAAAACCGAAGCTCTACATATCATTACGCTTAAAGAACGTAAGGAAGATGCAGAAGTTCCTAGTCAAGTGGAAGTTAAACCAGATTCTCATAGTACTCGGATTACAAAGGAGGCTTGCCGCACATTGATCCCAAAGTTTTGGAATGTTATTACAGCTTTATCTCGCCAGAGTCGTGCTCTTTTCAGCCAGGGGGAATTGGTGTGGACATCATTAGTTAGTTTCCTGATTTATTAGTTTCCTAGATTCTCTTGTTTTCCAGATTTCACTAGGATTTTAGTTTCCATATTTTTAGTAGGATTTGATTTAAGTTTCCTAGTTTATTTTACTTAGTTCCTTGGTGGATTAGGATTTCTGTTTTAGTAAGGGATTTTTATCCTATTGTCTCTAGGTTTTAGTTTGCTATAAATACCCTCCATGTAGTTCTTTAAAATTCAGTTGTTGAGATATAAAGAAAAGTTTATTTTCCAGAGATTGGAGACTACTTGGTGTGAAGCCAAACCCCTGGAGTGATTCCAAACCTATCCCTTTTGTTCTATTTTCTGTTTTCCATTGTTTTCGCTTCCGCTAAACTACCTAAATACTCAATTCACCCATATCCTACATCAATCTCTAATTGTTTTCCTTTTCATTCTCTGATGGCGTAATTCATCTTCCTGTTTCTTGCAAGAGCAAAAGAGCATTTTAGGGTCACTTGCTTCAGACTTACATGACGTCTCTTAGTTTTACCGTTTTCTTCAACTTTTCCTTCACCTGAGATTGTCAAGACATTAAATTTCTCTGCATCTTGAGCATACACCAGACAGATCCCGCACTGTTTCAATTTCAATTTGGAAGCGTAAACTGGACTGCCATGATAATTCCTCAGGCAGAGGCCTCAGTGGAAACATTGTAAAAAGAACTGGTGCTGCATTTTGCACGTTGCATACAATCAAAGGCATTATACCACACAAACATGTGATCTAAGTTGAAACTGTTCGTGTTGCCTCTTTGATATCTGCCTTCATCCCAATCCGGACCACACAAATGACAAGCTGAGTCAAGCTGTGTACTATTATTGGTTTTGAAAGTGGAACTACATCCGAACTCGTAATGCCAATTAAAATGAAAGTTACTGTCAAATGCAAAAACAACAGACACAGCGAAACCAAATAAATTTGGATTATACCAACCTGGAGGAAGCTTGATATTTATTGAAGATCCCTCATTTTGATAGCTAAACCAATTTGGAATTTCATTTTCCGGACAAACAAGCGTAACTAAAGATGGTTCAAATATAAACTCCCTTGACCATTCAAAACGTTGTCTGTACCACTTTGATGTCAACTTTGCCATTCGCATGATTAAAATCTGTGCATCAGCCATTATGTTGCTCCTTTCACTCTGATCCAATTTTAGGCAATTAGAAAATATAAGTTGCTTGTCCAAAAGAAACCGACGATAATCTTCACTCCAACCTTGTGTGAGTGTCGTCCTTGAACTTGATACTGTCTTCAGTGATGTGCAGCCATCCGCTATAAGATGCAGCCATAGCGGGAGCTCTGGTAAAGAATGAAGGCTTTTGCATTTGGTTAAGTATAGGCGATGCAGCCAAGAAGCTTGCTTGATGCTTTCAGGTATGCTCTCAATCATGGTTCCACGAAGATCTAAAGACCATAATGAGGTTAAGCAAATCAAGTGATCAGGGAATTTTGATATACCGCTGTAACTGAGGTCTAGCTTTTCCAAACCTACTAAGCAGGGTCGCAACTTATAAGTTTCAAACAGATATCACAGCTACTAGGGACAACCTCAAGGTGCTCGAACTGACTGATATTTAATCTTTTATGCCAGAAAGATTTTGAGTCAAGGACGGTAGTTCTATAACTGATGTGCCTTCTAAACTGAGCAATAGCGGATCTTCCATAGGCTCCAAGATTTCTGGGAAGCATTCAAATTCAGAGCAACTATTCAGATCAAGTATCTTAAGACATTTCAACTTACAAATACTCATTGGGAGACTCACAAGCCTTCTGCAACCTTTTAGTTGAATTTTATTGAGACCAGAGAGATACTCGATTGATGAGGGTAGCTCTTTAACTGCCATTCCTTGTAAACTAAGAAACTCCAGACGTCCCATAGGCTCCAAGATTTCTGGGAAGTGTTCAAATTCACAGCAACCAGAGAGATCAAGTTTCTCAAGAGATTTCAACTTACAAATGCTAGTTGGGAGACTCACAAACCTCTTACACTCTCTAAGCTCAATTGTTTTTAGACCATAGAGACATTCGATTGATGAGGGCAATACTTCTATTGCTGTCTCAGTCAACTTTAAAAGTTTAATCTCCCTAGGAAGCTCAAAAAACTTGCCGAGAGATGAGCAGCACATGACAGAAAATTCTGAACAGAATTTCAGATTACAGCTGCTGCTTGGGAGATGCTCAAGGTATTCACAATATTCAATATCCAAGAAATAAATTTTTTCATTAGACCAAACTGACGAAGGCAATTCCTTTATTGCAGCCCTCTTTAAATTCCAGCAGCTTCCCAGATGAATATAAGTAAGCTTGTCAAGATATTGAAAATATGACTGAATTTGAACCAAACTTGCACAACATTCAAGATTTATATGCCGAATCTTTTGACTATGAGAGAGATCTGGAACTTCAGCCAGATGATAGGAGTAACTAAGATCGATCAGTTTTAAGTTCCCCAGGTTCTGTAACAAACAAAGAGAAATGGAAAGAACTGTAACTTAGCCTGAATAACTTACCACACTACATTTTACACAACAGTAAAGTAAGCATATATACCTGGCCTTTATTCCAAAGTTTCTCAAGTTCACTGTGGGGCATTAGAAGCTCAACAAGATTTTATGCAGAAAATGTTGATGGCAAAGATTGCAAAGGGTATCTCTCCCAGTAAAGATAACAAATAGTATTGGGAAGAGACTCGGGGCCTTTAGAAAAACATAATTTGCTGCAGTCGCCAATGCAGGAATTTTAAATCTTTAGCAATCTTAGATTAGACATCTTTTTTAATGCTGCACAACTCAGGTGTAGCTGATCTTCATATTCAGCCATGTTAAAGAGCATACATTGAACCTTCTTAGTTCCCTGAAATCAAAAAGCAAGGTATAAATGAGTATGCAATATGCAACAAATTTACCCAGAACAATATTTGTATAGGCAGAACTTGTTTATCAGAAATGATTGTTTCCTTGATTTCCGAAGAAAGTTACTGCATTTGACCCTTACCGTTCTATTTTTCAATACCATGATAGAAGAGAGTCGGTAAAATACAGCATCAGCAAGGGGGGTCTTGCCAATACCACCCATAACCCAAATGCCTACAGTGCAAACATCTAGGGAATCATTAATGCATAATAATGATTCAATGTGCTGGATGCGCTTTCAATTACAACCAAACCCTCTTAAGTTACTTGACAATTTGCTAATCAATTTGGTCCAAATGCCTTCCACAACTTTCTCAACTAAATCCACCTCCGTCCTGGCATATATATGATTATGAAGGAAAAACAAACAATAGTTAGTAAGTATATGCCTAAACTAATCCTCTATGAATCTAATGGTCAGAGTTGAATTCAATACGAGTTACAGAATTAGTTACCCAGTTTTCTTTGAATTATCAAACCCAGATAAATTGGCTGCTTTCGTGAGAGCAGACCTCCACATGTCTACGTTTTCAATACTGTCCTTGAAACGTTCTTCAAGTTATCAAAGGAAGAGAAAGCAAGTTACTTTGTGCGAGAGTCTCTTTGGAGGCTTAAAGAATTTGACAATCACAAGAACTGATAATGTTTATGGCGTTGGACTCATAGGTCGCTATATGGAGTACACCAACAGAATCTCATTGGCTAGCTGCTAGGAGGTTGTTTTATCTTAGTTCAACAACTTTCTCTTGGACATTGGAAGCAATTGTATGTGAGGCCGAGTATATGGCCGTCTCTACTACCATTTGTGAGGCTATATGGCTAGGAGATTTTCTTTTGCAGTCACTGAATCACCTTATGAAGAATCTACAGTCATTCACGTGGACAACAAATAAACAATTAAGCTCGCAAAGAATCCATTACAACATGGAAGGAGTAAGCATATCGATACCATGTTCCATTTTCTCAGGGACCATATTGTGGGGAAAAGTTAGTCCCCCTCGTCACGGGAATTACTGATGGAAAGATAAAATAAATACCGCGGCAAGATGACAATGAGTGAAACAAAGAGAGCACACGAAGAAGATTTGTCAACAATATCAGAGTGTGTTTCTCAAATATTTCTTGTTTATTTCTGTATCTTGTTGATTCAAACTCTTTGAGAGTGTTAGTGAGAGGTGTGATCAAGTTTGTAAACCTATCACCCACTTTATTTGGTATTTGAATTCAGCTCAGAGTTTGGGAATCTTGAAATCTTTATTATTCAGTGTATTAAAGGTGTGAATTAAAGAATAAAACCTGAGCAAATTAATAAAATTAAATTAACGTACCTTAGCTGTTTTGGTTATGAATGAAGCTCGTTGCTCTTGAGATGGACTCCTTCGCTTAGAACGCCGGAGTCTGATACAATTATTGGTCTGGAAATGAGAGGGTTTGGAAAGAAGGAAATTGAGGGGCAAATGAAAAGCAGGAAACTGAGAGGCCATACCTGTTTTTTTGTTGGGTTTCTTTTTATTATTGTTATTATTATTTAATTTGAGAAGTGGAGCAATCAAATTGCGCAAGAAGTTGAGAGAGTACCGCTATATATGGTGTAACTTTTGATAGAGAAGTGTTTGTAACCTCCAGATCAGAAAATAAATTGCAACGGGATTAACTGCCTTAATTAGGAAATGTTTATATTAAGAGAGAAGTACGACAACCGAGCAGGATATCAAGTTGCAGCTCAGGATGGAATTAAGCAGGGGAGAGAGACTTGGAGAAGAGAGAGGCACAGAGAGAGAGAGAGAGAGCAGTTGCATGCAGAGACTAGATCACTGAGATCAGGTTTTAGCTAAGTGTTGTGTTGTGGGTGTGTGGCATACCATAGGTATAATTAAGTGCTTAGTTTTTTTTAAAAGAAAAAAGCAATAGTTGTATACATAGAATTAGGAACAAAGACCATCGGTCATAATGTCAAATCCAAATCTTTACAAAAGGGTAATACAAATATGGAAGCATAGCAACCATACACGGTTAATCTAAATACAGGCCATATAAAGTTAGAGAAATTTCTCTACAGCTCTCATTTTCAAGTCGTTACATTGTGGTTCTTGATTTGCATTTTCTATTTTTTCTCCTCCTTTTTTATTAGTAAATTGTAGCCCAGCCCCTTGAAATTTTGTGGTTCCGCCCTTGGTTATGTGGTATAACTTGTGTTGGTGAATCAACAATCAGTATTACACTAATAATTTAATTTAACAATTAAATAAAACAGTAAATTTAAACAATGCAGTAAAATAAAAAACTGACTGGTTTTTCAAATAGAGGCTTGCAAATTGCAATGTCCTTGAAACATAATTTCGCCCATACTCAGTGCTTGTAGTTCTGCTAGCCTCTGCTCCACCATGATACAACTATCTAAAATCAAAGTCCTAGCACTAGCGCTTTGAGTTATGGCGAAATCAATGTGTTTCTCTCAGGCTATGAACAGGAAAATGACTTAGAATGAAATCTGCGTTTTTTATGTGTTTTTAAACAGAACTAGGGCTCTTGTTTATATAGAGGGCTGATATCGAGCAAGTATCATATAACGGTCAAACCCAATCAAACAAACTTATCTAATATTTGAATTTTAAAAAATAATTCAAATAATTAATTAAATAATTAACTCGGAATTAATTAAATTAATTGGGTTTAATTTTAAATAACATAGCCCAAGGCCCATCTTTTGACTAATTAAATCTATATATATATAAAGCAAAAGGCAGAGAATGGTGAAACATTCAAAATACCAAAAAATGCCCTTGGTTAATGCAGAGAGGCTAGTATGTATTATATTTATTATTCATTGACCCAAAGGCCAAACCCACAAGCCACTTTATTGGGCCACTTGGATAGCCCAATCCTAACTATTCTATTTCCAAGAATAGGTCTTATAAAGACCTTCAGGGAACGATAGTTTTCCAATGTGGGACTAATTTCAACTCAAACATGTAATGACTTGCAAAAACGAACAACTTGTTCTTTTTTTGAGAAATTCTAGAATTGAATTTAGAATTCGGCCGAAAAATCCAATAGCCACAAAGGGCCATTATAGTAACGAAGTAATCTAACATTAAAATTAAGACAATCTGGGACTCATTCACTAACGATCACGCGTGATTGAAGAAACTTTGGCATAGGCATCCCAACTAAGAGTGCAAACTCAGAACAACCAAAAATAGATAAAGCTTGAAAAAACCAAGCCATAACAATACCAAAAAAAAAACTCTCACATAAGAGAAGTGAAAAGCTCTAACAAAGGAGAGATGAAACACTAGTAGAGGTGAAAACTATACAGAAAATCCAAAGAGTCTTTGTGACTTATTCCAAACATGAAGAAACCGGAA